GGGGGGGGGGAAGAAGTGGTTATAGGTGACGAATCCCCCCTAACGAGAAAACTTGAACGATAAAAGTATAATAAGTCTGCGAATTGGTTCTGCTTTCAGAACAACGGATATCGGGATTCCTGTTGACTGTCCAAATTTGATGCTCCTCTTTTATATCGTGCAATTATTCCTGCGCGAACTCTGCAAAAGTAAGAACCTCATCCGCATCGTGCCGATGGATATGACGGAGTATTATGGTAACATTGCCAACCCTTCTATATTTTCTCATACGTCTAATGGCGAAGAATTCAGAACGAAAGGAACTGTTTGGAAAATAATTATCTCACCCGTTTTCAACTTTTCCCGGAAAATGAATGTTCATAATTACATAGTTACCTATGATGGTATAACAAGATGTGAAATACACGATACTATATCTGATGCAAATTCATGTGCTTTAAACATGACCGAAGAGAAAGGATCTATGCGACCATTGAACAGATATTACAACGAGCATTCTATAATAATCTGGATATTTACCATACTTTTTACGTATCTGTGGTTTCTGTGCATTTTTAATAAATGTCCGCGATCTATTTACGTGGCGCGCGATTTCCCCGCTAGAGCCAATTCACGATAACGACCAGCGCGGATTTTTTCCCGCTCTTGTTTCAGAAACTCGAACCGGGCCATCCAACATCGGCAACGTGATCTCGCAGATAGTTCTCTGTAAGCAGATCACGCCGGACTTCTACCAGGAAGAATTGTGCAGCATCCAAAAGGACTCCGAGGAAATCCGAGGTCTGATGAACGAACTGCAAGAGTTTATGCCACAATCGGGTGGCGATATAGGTACTGACATATTCCCTCTTCATGAATCCTCTGCTCGACCTTTCTCTGTGCGTTTCAACTTATTTTCAGTTGAATTCTCACTAGACATATACACTTCGCGACGACGATGTTACGATCGTTGCTAATCGAAGAACAAACGCGCGCGGATGTGGCGTCCTTCGAAAAGAGAAAAGCTCTCGTCGGGATCAGGAGGGGATATTTCCCGAAGGGGGAGGTTGAACAGAGTATTGCAAATGGTACGAGAATTGAACGAGCGGCACTCGATTCGTCCCCTCGAAACGTAAACGCGCCACGTTCATTAATTCAGTTACGTTGTCCTGCGAACACTTCGCCATTCTATTTACCACTCTAATATCTCTTCCTGCTTCGTTGACCTTTCTTTCTCTATCCATCCTTTTTCCTATTCTACTCCTCTCTCTCTCTCTCTCTCCGGCCTCTCTATTCAACCCGTCTCTAATCGGGTTACTCCAGAGGCCAAGGTCTGGATTTCAAAGGAGAACACAATTCTCCCTTTTCTCTCTGTTCGTCCCTGTGCACTGCATCTTACCTCGTTGCTCTTACCAATCCCCATTGATTCCACGGAACAAACGTATTATCCTCCCAACAGGATAAAGCTCGGTATACAGTTATCAAGCGGTAGTGCTGGTTCGCTTCTCAGGCTTGGATAGTACGCGACGACCTTAATTACCCATCTGCCGATATAATGAGCGAATTCAGATGCGCCCCTGTGGCCCTCTAGAGGCAGCAGCCGAGAGAGATGGCACGAAAATCACCGTGTAGCACGATCTTCGATCCTCTGAACGTCAGCTCGAAACTTCGCTTGGTTATTAAGCGA